GATGCATCTAGCTGAAAGAACTTCAGACTGGTCGCCACAACTGTCAGGAAAAATCCCCTCAAAATTTCAGTCTTCTAGCCTCTCACGTTCTCCAGTAATTAACTTACCCGGAAGGAACTTTTCACGGGCCACCATGATCTTGCTTATAAGCATCCCTTGAAAAAAGACATTTGCACCATCCCTCGAAAAAGGTAGTGGATGGTTGCTGTTGACATTTACTGCCACTCAAGCTATTTCCTGTGTGCCTCCGCCTCCAAGAGACGGGTTTTTGACAATTAAGTCGGTTAGACTAACCAACGTTTTATCATTGCACTGATTGAAATGTACTGAAATTATTTTTTTGCAATTATTAGTAAACTGTTGGCTTGTTGCAGGAGAATTCATTTGAAGTAGTGATTGCGCACGGTGACAATGCAACTTTTGTGATGTACTTGTTCGAGGAGATCGAATCTGACAGTGGCCTCAGTGGCTTCTCGTCCGGTGTTGAATTTTATGAATTACCCTTTGAAATGTTGGCGAATCGTTCGAATATTGGTGAACGGGGCAAATGGTTGTTTCGCGTTGATGGCGTTTTACCGTTGCACTGCCCGGCCGGTACACTGGATCCGCCGCTTTGTCAGAAAGGTTCGCTTTGGAGTATTTATTTGTTCCCAATCGAATTTCATGAATATTAAAAAACGAGCGAAAGCGAAAATTACATTAATCTAATCGCAAGTTCAAATTACCAAGAATGTTCAGACGATCGGTGGGGTAATCCGATGTTAATGATATTACTCTGAGTTTCTTGCTTTCTCCGAGTGTAGCTGTGCTGAATCCTTTAATTTTCAATTGCACACCTCTAGCTATTATCCGCCTCGCTTACGCCGGATACAAATTCTTTTTATTATGGGTGCACAAATTTTTCAGAGGCCTCCCGAATAGTCGTTTACTTTCTCGTGAATACCACTCATTGTTATCTGGCAGCCCTTCTGTTATCATGAAGGCGGGCGCGTGTTTTGTCTGTCTGATTTTACTTCTCCGTGCTGTCGCATTGGTATTCTAGATGATAAGCAGAATTTGCCAAGACGGATGATGACGCATACTCGAGAACTGGTGTGACCACTCGTTTTGCGTAGTTAAATGCCCAGCCACGTGAAGCAAGGAATTTCATTTTCCTATGTTGATATTCATATCGTTAGGTGCTATATTGGAAATACATCTGCTTTTTTGCTGGACACTGATTGCTGATTGAGACACAGCATATTGAGTTTTTGATGCATTCTGTTTGAGAGTGCGATGCGGGCACATGGGGATTCCGATGCGAGAATAAATGTCACTGTAGGAATGATATTCCATGCGATTTCGCCACTGGCTTCTGCTCGAATGCACAGTGTGCTGATGGATGGATGGGCATCAACTGCTTCGAAGGTTAGCTTGCATTTTTCTTTTGCAGATTAGCAGCAAAAAGAGCTTATCTGTCTGCTTCGCTTATTGAGTTGTCGAAAGAAACCAAGATAGCAACGCACATCAGGTTTTCTGGAGCGAACATGCGTTTATGCGCTAATCTTGAAGCAGCCAGACCATTAACAATACGAACAGTCATTGCTTTATAGTTTAGCATGTGGGTACTTGTATTTTGATAATATTTCTGGATTTGCATGTGTCGAGAGAGGATTATCGGTCAGAATGGCAGTGCTGCATTTTTGATCATGTGAGCGTGTAGCATTTATGATTACCGTAGGCATTTGTAAAAACTGGTTTTGTGTCTAGTAGCCAAAGCTCACGGCTCCAACATCAGATTGCAAAAGCATTGAAATATAGCATTTCTATCCTGAGCGATTTCTTAGATTGCTCGAATTTAACAACCGAACAACTTTTGTCAATCGAAGAAATATTATTTTTACAAGAAATGGATAGCAGAGCAAATTGTGAATCGTTCTGTTGATGATCCATGGCAGGCAATTTTGGCAGTTCCAGTTAACCCCATAACTACGATTCCATCAAGCACAGCCTTGCCAGTTGCTAATCTGTAGATGCTAAGTGTACACAGCCTTTGTCCTTCACTGTTAACCGGGACGAATCATATACGATAGAGGGCCAGTGGGTGGGCGTTGCATTTGCTGCCAGAACCAAAAAGTCGGAACCCCTTCGTGTTCGCTTTTCACGAGGAAATGAGGCACTTGGAAACTAGACCGAGTGGTCGCAAATGCCAGCAGCAACCACACGCTGACAAGGCTGTCGATGGCTCCATTTTGCTTGCGAACAAGTTAATGAGCATTTTTTTCAAAAGTTATAAAAGGCCATTTTATACTAATGTATAAAAATTCGGCCGCAGCTGTCGCTGATCGAATGTACTGTCTGTTCCACCGTTGTTTTCCGCTTCCTTCGTCGCTGTGTGGCTTAACTGTCTAAACATTTGAGCGATAGAATAAGCTAAATTTTTTCTTATGCTCTCTGATTAATTGTGCTCTAGATGTGAACGAATGCATCACGGAACGGCATAACTGCTCTTCGAAAGCGACCTGTATTAATGAAATTGGTTCATACCGATGCAAATGCAACGAGCTTTTCCTTGGCGATGGCGTCTCTTGCAAACGTTTGTCTTTCGCAAGAAATTTTCCAGTCTTTTATAGTTCAGTTCGAAAGGACAGCTGTTTGTATACCTAATTCAAGGAAATTTCTGACAGCCTGTATTCAAAGGGCTGAGAGTAATTCGTTGGGAGGTTCGGTAATTTGAAGAGTGGTACAACCAATCTGTGGACTGATATGGGCGAGGGCGGGCAGAAAAGCTGTCTGACTTAAATAAGACTGGAAAAAAGGAATTGCATAATCTGATATGATTATGAGTTATTCAAGCGATCGAGCAGTAAAATCAGCTGCAATTTTTGGGGCGAGGGAGGGAAAGAGTTTGTTACATAAAACTGATATGAATAAGGAATTTGCAGAGGTGGATGCATGCTATTTGAAGTACAAAGAGAAATGTTCGGTGAATGCGGTTTGTGACGAAACGTCTTCAGAAGGCCCAGAATGTGTTTGTAATGAGGGATATCACGGAGATGGCCTCAACTGCCTGCGAATAAATGCTCCTATCGGTTTGTTGATGATTTGTCAGCTTCCGTTAGTTGTGTCTGAGCATTTCTCGCACAACCTTTTATTAGCTGAATGCCTCTGTACATCGGCACCACGCAAAAGCATATTGCGAAATATGAAAACGGAAAAAACTTCTGTTGTGGGCGGGGTCGGTTAATCCGGTGCGATTGTTAGAGAGAGGTAGAAGTCATCCTAATTAGTGCAGAAATCTATTGATGAGTACTGATAAGTACTTGAGATCATGATTACAGATGATGAGCCAATAACACCGGTACTGGATAACGCAGTTACTGACGTGCCACTGGGAATACCGAAGAGTATGGAAATCGACGGCGAGATGGAGGAGACGCCGTTTATGATGCACAACTGGATCACTGATCCGGTAAGTCTGCGAGATTCAACGCCTCTCCGAAATGACTAACAATCCCAACAAGCAAAAATGTTTCTTGGCATAACAAAGACTTGATTTTACTAGAGACAAATTCGGAACTCTAGGTACCGCTGTCCTATGCTCTGTGTGACAACTTGACTGTTTTACGCAACAGGTGTTACGCAAGTTTTTGCACAAGTTTTCCCAATTTTTTTAGACTCGTTACAGCTCGTACAGTTAAACAAGTAGCTGGTAATTTAGAAAAAGCTGGTAATTTAAAAAGAGTCCAAAATCAGTATGTCCTGGCTAAAGAATCATGCCCACCTGAATTTGGTCATTTTCCAATCAGCTCTCTCCTTCATTTCGGGCGCATTTGCTTCGTTTTTCACTTCTGGAATGCCGGGAATAATTTTTTTTTTCGATGTTCCAGATGAAATCAGCATCTGAGCATTACAATCAGGAGCAGCGGCTGCAAAACAGAGGCGAGGAGGCGAATTCGAAGCAGTCAACCACAACTAGTCCACCACTTGCGAAGGATTACAATGATGTTGAAAATGAGCTCTACATAGGCGGTAAAACGATGGAAGAAGCGGATGGTGCTAGCAGTAAGTTCGCCCAGCTCTTCGTTAACATTTAGCAATTAACGCATTCCTGGATTCATACAATGTAGCACCCAGAAATCCTTGGCGCTCAAGAAGCCATTTTGATGCATACGTAGCCCCCTCACGGATGTTTTTTTTAGTTTCAAATGACTCACAGCCATAGTGTTTGCGCCCGCTTTTAGGTTAGAGGAAATGTAGATCTTCAATCTTTAATCGAGTAGTTCGCTGTCTTGATGGTTCCCTTGCAGTTTTCAGAATATTTTTTTGGGTGGCTTCTTTGAAGTTTTCAGGATAATTTAGTCCTGTAAATTAGTCAAATGCACATCCTGCACTTCGTTGGTAAAAGACTGTACTGATGTTTCCCGGTTTGATCCACACACGAAGCTCTGTTGTGCTTACGGCTAAGTAATGATATCAATAGTGGGCGCGTTGTTGCATCGTTCGAACCTTAATAGCTTCTTATTTAGCATGGTTTATTTTGGTGCCAGTGGCGTTGTGTGCATTATGGGCCAGTCTAATCGTAATTATTGTAGCCGTGTGCTGTCGAAAGAAAAGGTAGTCCAGTACTTTATTTACATGAACAGGTCATACTTGTAATAATTATCAAAGGCCTTGCTCGAGCCTGGGAGCATCTGACCCACCTTCGGTCGGCACAACAACAATAGTTTGAAATACCACTGAAATAGTTATTAGTTGATATTACGAAAATTACCCGATTTGGATTTTTTTAAAAAATTTGTATCTTATAGAAAAATTTAGAAAAAAAAAGTAGAACCCAGGGTGGATCAAAAGCGGTTCAAAAACAGACTAAAGACAGGCCAAGGGCAGATCAAAAGCAAACCGGGAGTAGACCAAAGACTAGATCAAAAGGTTTAACTGGCATGGTCTAATTTTTGATCTACCCGGTAGGTCATGATCTATCCTTTTCGTCTAACCGGTAGGTCATGATCTACCTTTCTGGTCTAACCGGTAGGTCATGATCTACCTTTCTGATCTACCCGGTAGATCATGGTCTACCTTTTTGATCTACCCGGTAGATCATGGTCTGCCTTTTTGATCTACCCGGTAGATCGTGGTCTACCTTATTGATCCGCCCGGTAGATCATGATTTATCTTTTTGATCTGCCTTTTTGATCTACCTTTATGATCTACCCGGTAGATCATGATCCACCTTTTTGATCTACCCGGTAGATCATGATCTACCTCTTTGGTCTACCCGGTAGATCATGATCTACCTTTTTGATCTACCCGGTAGATCGTGATCTACCTTTTTGATC